CTAAGCTCATAAATCTTTCAAAACTACTCTCAATGCGACCATTTAAACTGTAAATAGCTAAACATTTTATAGGTCGGAAATTCCTTTGAAATTTCGCTGATTATGCATGGCAGGCGTCTCTCGTTCACAATTCAGCGACTCATCTAACTGTTTATAAAATCTTATCACATTAATTAATTTTAAATGAAAGAAAAACAAAAACTTAAATAAATTTCAATCAATTCCTCCCCGAAATCACCCGAACGCATAATTTAATATTATCGAATCAAATCCAATGAGTTGGATATTTAGAGCACTTAATGCATTCGAAATCATAATGAAGGTGAAGAAAATCTTATAAAAATATTTTAAATTATTCGAAGGCATGTGTCGACACAGTCAAATTTATTTTATTGATTCTTGTATTTTTATAGCCTGAAATAGACTTGAAAATGGATAGCAGGTGAAATTTAAATGCCGCATTGTTTTCTCATGCTATTTATATCATTATGAAGAACCTATAAATATTTAATTTGATGACTTCATAAGGAAACAGTTGTTCATGAACTTGCTGAATTTATTTATTGGATGCAAATAAGTTTTTGGGATGAAATTTTGAACTTGGAAATTTATTTGGCGGGTTCATCTCTAATGATGAGCCTCAGCTAGAAGTTTAGACACCCAAGCCCCACCATGAGAATAAAACAGTCTCAAATGTCAAACGGCATCCACCAATGACTCACAAAATAAGCTACAAGTCAGCCTAGACAACAAAAGTGAATGACCCCATCAAAATACCATTAAAAACTTAGTTCCTCAAGCTAATTTTGAAGATTTTCTCTTAATCTTTCAAACCAATTCAATTTCCAAATGTCACAGCCTTTACAACCGAATTTCTACTTCCAATTATAATCCTGACGATCATTTAATAATCCTGTCTCGATTTGGTTTGATGTTCCGAAAGCTAAAAAGCCGCGTAATTGCCAAAAATAATCTTCATTTGCAAATATTCATGAGTAGTTTGCTCAATTTCACACAAAATATGACCATTTAAAACAATTTTCGACATGTAGAGCATGAAAATTAATTTTTCGGTTGAAGTCGTTAGCTAAATTGAAATAATCTGTCACGAATTGGACGTGGTAAGAATTTTTAAAATTGTGTCAAATGTTTGAATTTTCTATGAATTGTTTTAGAATTTTTTTGCATAATTTTTCAAAAGTTCATTGCTTTGGAAATGAGTTTTTGTTTGTAATTTATTGAAGACTTGCTTCTTTTGAATTTATGGATTTGCATATTTTTTTTGTTGGGTTGTTGGTGTGGTGTCGGTGCCATTTGGTATATTAGATGTTTAATTATTTGTAAGTAAATCTGCCAGTGCAAGAGTCGAGGTTAGACAACAACTTAAATTCCTTTCGTTACTTATTTACTTCGCTGACCGAACATATCAATTGTGATCCAACCCTAGCAGAGATCGAAGCCGATTTTTTCGGCTTAACTCAATTTTTGATTTTTTTAATAGAAGAAAGCTATTTAACACCCACTTCAAGTATTTAAATTGAACTTTATATGCTTTACTATGATTCTGTGTAATATTTTGTCAGCATGTAGCTATAGTGAGCTCAGAATTTCAATTTAGCCGATTTTAAGCCGATCGGCTTAAATTTCGGCTTAACATTCTTTAACTTGAAATTCTGAGCTTCCTATAGCTACATACTGAAAAAATATTTCACAGAATCATAGTAAAGCATGTAAAGTTCAATTTAAATACTTGAAATGGGTGTTAAATGGCTTTTTTCTATCAAAAAAAAATCAAAAATTGAGTTAAGCCGAAAAAATCGGCTTCGATCTCTGAACCCTAGTAACCAAAAGGTAGATCAATGGATTCCATGAGAATCTTCCATGGATGATACATATGTATTATCTATGTATTATCTATGTATTATCCATTGGAAGATGATGTCCTATGAAAATGGAAGATAAATGGACAATGTAATAAGACATCAATCTAATACATCAAAGGAATACAAATGGAAAACAAATGGATTACTTTTTTTGCATAAAAACACGTGTTAAATTCCACGTGTTCTTTTGTATTTTTCATTAATTTGTGTAAATTTTTGTAAAAGTATTAGTGTATACTTAATTAAAGTACACTAACACTACGAAAAAGAACAAAAGGACTTAATTTAATTAAGTCGCATACTGATGAACGCCCATGACTCGCACACAAACCTGAGGACGATAAATAATTAATTAAAAGCCCCATACAAAATTAGAAAGAACTTATAATAGTGATTTCTGCGAGCACTTGTGAAGTATATGGCAAATGCCAAATTTAGAACAAATATTATTTTCCTGCAAAAAAATATTTTTTTGATGATTTTTCGTAGGTTTTGAACTTAAGCGGGCTCGGGTTATACTTCGATGGAACACGTCTGTTACATATTTGAAAAACAAATATTTTCCATATAATAAATAATGATACATTTGATCTTCCATCGACGTCGAAGGAAGATTTTATGGAACATTTTGGTTACTAGGGAAGCCTCTTTTAGATCGCGCCTGAAGCTGGCTCTATCGCTGGCTACCGTTTGCCAATTACCCATACCAATTGCAATACTGTCTCTGTCAACAGCTTCTTTCCAAGAGTTTTTGAGATGTTCGCGTCAAATTCCTTTAGCTTTCTTTTTTTTGAAGAACGTGGGTTCGTTTCCTACTAAGCTCATCAAAGTAATGAGTACGCTTCTAGATTAGAACAATAAGAATCAAACTCTCGTTCTCAAAATATTAATATTAAAATATTAATAAACACAAATCGCTCGATATCCAGCAGTTCCGAAACCACACAAACATTTCTACAACAGTACAAACTAGGTATGATATTGAAAAAATAAAAATTCACACAAAATTTGATATCGTCCTAAAATTAGAGCTTTGAAAAAAATAGATCAGATCTGAAGGTCGTCAATTGATTTTTATCGACTTGATTAATTCCAATACCTCAACAATAATATCAGAAATCTCTAAATAGATGAATTTCGCTGTCTAAGTCATGACTCATTCGAAAAATTTATTTTGCTCTAATAAAATAACAAAAATTAAATTTTTTACTATGGAGTCGTTAATAAATGACGTTCTTAAAAAATTGTATTTTTAGATCCTCAACCACTTTTGTCAAAACAATTTATTTCTTGAATTGTACTCACACAGCTATAGACCCCCCCCCCCTCATCCCCTTCCAAAAAATTAAACATCATTTATGAACAGCCCCCTAATCTATAAAACAAAAAGACGAGATATTCAGCATATTGAAATAGATTTAAATCTATTATCAAATAAAATCTATAATGTAAATGATGATAGAGACATAAAGTGCCATTTTAGTATTGTGAGAAAAGCTATAAAGATCATATCACACGCTAAGAGTTATGTCTACACTGCTGCTACTTTTTATTGGTTTTATATAAAAAATAATGAACGTGTAGATTCCTACGAACTGAAAAATATTGTCATTGCATGCACTCAATGCTTAAATTACGTTTAATTATCAGTCAATATTCAACATTGTAATGACTTTATTTATGCTCAAAGAGACACTCGCTGTGGCACAAGGAAAGAGACAAATAGGCATCGCGAATTGTCATAAAAAATGCTAGCCACGATCAAATTGATTATCATCAGATATAAATCTACCTGATTTAAGACTCTCTCGATCGCAGATCATCGATGTATTATTCAGAGACATAAATGGAATGGGCGTGCAAATTTTAATTTCTTTGCACCAAATTGTCTAATTTACTACGTGTGGAATTTATTTATTTATTTATGTTTTTATAGTCAATCCAATGACAATGTGTTAACTTAGATCGACGACAAAAAAGACATTAAAGTTATACTAGAGAAAGAGAAAAGAATAAAAAAAAATTACAGAAGTCCTCGTGTTAATGATCGAGGGACTTAAGCGCATTTTTGTGTTAGCGATCAGCATTTGACTGTCAATTTATTTTGCGTTCATTTACAGATCATTAGAAGATTAGAAGATCATTGATTCTAGTGCAATTAGCAAATAATTACAATGAATGCTTATAAAGAAAAGCTTTTTTATTTAACGGTCAATAAATAATTTGAAATTTTCCCGCTAAAAGTTGCACTTCAAAAACAATAACTATAGTATAATTAATAATTTGTAGAAATGAATTTCCATATAGAAAAAGTTTATCATTTAACGGTTTTTTGAGATTCAAAAATTTTTAACGGTAGAAATAAATTCGAATTTCTAAACGCTCTCATCACGTGTTTTTTCATATGAAATATAAAAATCATTAATTATAGGACAAAAAGACTGTTTAAACGCTTTAACTTTGACTTTTAAATGCGTTTTCCGAAAATAAAACAATGGACCTGAGCTAATAAAACAAACTAGAACTCTCTACGATTTCTAGTTAAAAAGTTTTTCTCCGCCCGAACGAACAGACATAGTGAGATATTAAGCTACCTTTTCGAAACAAGTTTTAAAAATGCGCTAAAAAGAATAAAGTGTTAAGACAGGGAAGGGAATCGCTGTGACTTTAAGAAATGTTTAAGGTATGTTGAAATCTATTTGCAGCTACTTAAATATTCATACTGTACACAATATTGGCAACTATATTGAAGTTCATGCTACGCACAGTTTTAGAGTGCCTTAAAAAAATTCACTGCGCTCAATTTTAGTGCGCCATTAAAAATTTACTGCGCACAATTTTAGTGCGCTATTAAAATTTCACTGCGCACAATTTCAGTGCGCCGTATAAAAATTTATTATGCACACCAGAGAGTCATACTGCATCTATGCTATTTGTGAAACTACTGTGACTGTCTAAGACTTTCAATCATTTAACTAAAACTCATTTCCCCGTTAAATCAGAACTGAGATTTCATGACTTGTCTAGCCATATCAACACAATTTTAAATTACCATAAGAACTTAAACAAAAGCTCATTCCATCCAACAATTTAAATCAAAAAGCGCATAAAAAAAAATTCCTTCTCACTTAACTTATTTATTGATCATAGCCCCCATAAAAGAAGACCGTGCCGTGAATGATTGAATATTTATAATGCTTCTTAGAATAATTTTACACTCACTTAATATCATCCGCAGAGACATCTTATCGTAAGTTGAATGCGTGTTAAAATATTTTTATCGCCCATTGCCTGCTCTTTTCCCGCTCTTCAGTGTCAAAATTATTATTTATGAAAATTAAAACAATAAATTTTCACTCACTTATTTATGATTTCTTGAGAAAGAAAGGCACTCCATCGAGTCAGACCAGGTACTCACAAGAGCAGCAGCTATAATGAAGCATAAAAAATGCACTTAAGAAATTCCACGACATAAATGATTCGCTTCAACAACTCAACTTAATAAAAAAAAAGTGAAATAAAATGAAAAAAGCAGCACCGCCATCATCATAATATTGTTGGCACTAAAAGGAATCTCTTCCTTTAAAGATTTACAAATGTAAAATGTAAAAGAGAGAAAAATATATTACCCGGCAGCAGAAATGGAAAGAAGGCAGCAGTCTGATGATTATGATAATTATTGCAACTCGATATATCACTCGATAATTCATTGAACCTTATCATACGTCACGTGCTTATGTGAATATGGAAGTTGTGAGCATTACATTTAAAATATACGTTATGCTTTTGTGAAGCGTTGATAAACTGATATTTATGATTACGAACAATACGGATAATTTAAATTATGGCTGTACTGCATTTTTTTCTCATCCATTAGCTTCTCATGTAATTGCTTTATGAAGAATTATGCGAATTAGTACCTAAGGTGCGAATTATATTGAATTATTTATGTGCAATGACTTAATTTAATACTCAGGCTTCCTTTTGGTCAGTGATCATGAATAATGAGTTGCCTTTTATTGGCAATGCATGATGTGTGATTCTGATAGATTAAGGATAAAGTGGAATTGAAGATTTTCAGCATGATATACACAGAATAAGTTTCTGGAGGAATTCAACTCCTTAATATCACCGATAAATTATAAAAAACATCTCAAACTTTGGTTTGATTCCATTAACACATTCAGCACATCATCAATGTTAACATAAGACTGTTTCCAAACCATGAATATTGTTATCATACGGATACTCGTCGATTATATTCAATTGATCGGCGTTAAGCTTCTTCCAGTCTTCAGTCTTACATAGAACTTTGTGATGTCTAAAAGATCAGTTAACAATTAAGTCCCATCTAAAAGTAATCATGTTAAATTTATCACTTACGCCTTAATAAACATTATGCATCTCTGCATTAAGTAGTTGTGATTATAAAAATCAGCCAGCATAAAGAATTCAAGAACATCCTCAACATTCAAGCTACTAACAATTTGGTTAACGCATTTGTCTTTTAATTTGTTCATCTGATACTTGTCAGCAGCACAAAAAATTGCCTTTAGGTCATTTCCCCATCCACGATAATGATAAGAGTCATACATGAACAATAGAATGTCATTCATTGTTGGTCCGTCGATGTCGTTTACTTCCATGACTCCAGATATAGATTCCTTCATCGGACATTGCAGCATAACCTTAAATACGGGTGAATTTTCTGATAAAATTAAGCGATGAGTACGGATGACAGTTTTGTCAGAACAGATGATCGTGAAGTCACTAAACAGCCCCCATTGAAACATTTCAGTAAATTCTGAATAAATTCCAGGATCAGATGCATTGTAATTCTCATATTCCTTACAGAAGCCATCAAACAGCTCAATCTGAATAAGCAATTAATTTAAATAAAAAGCAAATAGACACCAAGCTTTTATATATACCCTTAAATTGATAGTAAGAACACCATTGTCAAGATAATCAGCTGGATTTCCGAAAATATGTTCGAGTTCTGTGAAGTAAATTGGATGTTTCTTGTATATAAAATTGGCATGTTCCTCATAAGTATCAAAATAAACGACAGAAGAGTCAGATTTCTTTGTATCAATAAATCCAGTGAATTTAACCTTGAAATCATTATCTCGACTCATCTTCTTCAAATCAATGACGATTCCTTCTCGATCAAATCCATAATGCAACTTCCTGTGATGGAATAGACAATTTTGAAAATTTTAATAGGAGTCATTTACATATGACGTCTATCATTTAGGGAGAAATTTGAGATTTTGTGAAGCTTCTATACAAATATACTTTTTGTATGAACGAGATTTCATAAGGAGGGGATGGTTAAAAATTCGTTTTTTTAAACAAACGTCATTTATGAACGACCCCAAATTTAAGAAAGTTTTCTTACCATGATGTCATCTTTTTTCCAAGCATAATAAAGTAAAAGTTTGTGTTTAAATTATTGTTCATGGCTTTTTCGTAGTTTTCTTCAGTGAAATTACGGATCTTCCATTCTAAGTTGCAAACTGCTGTGTTCTTTTCGAATTTCATTATGATAATGATGATTATTAGCTCCTATTGATTAACTGTCGTATTGTTGAATTTGCAATTTTTGAATGATTTTTATTGGCAATCAATTTTTAAAAGCACACGTCGATTGAATAAATTCTCGAATAGTTTTTGAATTTAACATTATTTCTTAAATTCAATGATTCCAATTTCAACAAGATGACAATTTGAGTCCAAAAAGTAAAGTCACTTCCAACTGAATGCAAAATTTCATCATCTGATTTGTTCTCAAAGTGTTGGAACCTAATCTTTGACACAAATCAATGTTCAACTTGTAAACATTTTCATAAAAATCCCATAACGTCAATTCCCATGGATTTGTCAACTGCTTCTCTTCCCAAAAACCAACATTTTTTAATGGGAAATCGTATATTTTGACATTCATTCATAATTGATATTTCCGTTCTATAAAAACCGCGCAAAATGTTTATATTAATTAATAAATTCATAAGTTGATGTTGATATTAAAAAAATTCCACTCCACCTTAGTCATCGATGTTCGCATTCTAATCGATATTTTTGCTATCTTCCCCATTGAGATAATAATCATCGTATTACAACATTTGTGTTTGTTGCCATTTATTAACATCTATGTTATATAGTCAATCGAGATGATCATGATAAGATATAAGAGTATTCAATAGAACGTGGAGGGGGTCGTACGGGTGTAATGTAATGGAAATGGAAGAAAATCTTATCTAGTCTTCATCAAAGAGCAAAGCTTGTGGGTCTAATGCAGTGGATCTCAAACTTTGTGCCGCGAAAAAAAATTGATTGCTAAAATTGAGAAACGCTGGTCTAATGGAAGTTACTCATCACTGTCACATTAAGTCTCCCTAAAATAATTAATTCAATTTGCACATTTTTTATTTCGATGACAGGACTGATTACTTTTGGACCAAGAGCTCCTTACATAGCGCCTGATGCTGTGTTTATTGATGGCTACTGCTTGCCACTCAGCAATTGTTTTGCTTAATCTTGCTAAAATCTCTCCTCAGGTCCCTGAGCTTTGTGGTAAGTTTAGCACCTCAATTGACTAGGTAAAGTACTCAGGGTAGTCTTTCAAGCACCTGCTGTCGATTATTGTAGCCAAAAAGTCCACAAAGTCCTATCCTTTACTTTATTAGACCTACTTTAAAAAAGTTTGTAGCTTCAAGGCACCTCAAACCGCTTTAATATTTATGAAAAAATGAACATAGTGACGTCATAATTGAATGACCCCAAAAGACATCCACTATCGGAAATCATAATATTAATTTAATGTAAACCTGTAAGCACAAATAATACAAAGTTCCAGCTCAGTTTGAGACGCGATCATATAGATTATCATCATCATCTCACTGCTCTGTAGATTACTGTGGCTTATTCATTCACAATAATAAAGTATTTTTCAATTCTAAGGTTGGAACTTCTTAATAATGTGTGGTTTTGGTGTGGCATTGATTGAGTTATAAAAGTGTCACTTTTAATTTAATTCTCTCCACATAATAGAGAGACGGGATGTGAAGAAAACAAAATTAATTTCTATTTTTTTTATAGGTATATAGGCATTGTAAGGTATATTCAAAATTGAGTGCGAGAAGGAGAAATGAAGACGAAGAAGAAGAAGAAAAGATTTGTTACTTAATATAAATTTAGTTTCTATAAAGTCATGAATGATTGATTATATTATTGGAATCTACAGTGGCGCGGTTAAGGGTAATGGTGTAATTACATATAAAAGTGACAGTAGAGAAAATAGCAAGGAAAATAATAGCAGTCAGATCATAAAACAACAGCTATTAATGTTATGTACATGCTGGTGAAAAAAAAGGAAAAGGAATTAAGTATGCGATAGGTTGATGATTGATTGAATCAAAACTGGTAGTAGCAAATAATTTTTCATTTTTTTTTTTTTATTATTGAGATGATAAAATGATGTCGGGTGGGACTATATAGTCATATTTCGCAAAGTAATACGGATTAGTCGTCTGTTGTATAATCCATCGTACGTATTGACATGATTCCTTCACATTCCATAAAATCACTTAATAATAAGACTTTTAGCTTCTTTTCTTTTGTTTCATTATTTTTTGATTGGCGATAGTTGAGACTATGGCAGGTTGAAATTTGATTGTTGTATGAGATAAAAGAGGAATCTTTGGTATCAATCTAAATATAGGTGAATCTGTCAGTTTGAGACTAAAGATAATGTGCTAATATGCGAGGTTAATGATTAGATCGAAACCTTTAAACAGTTAAGGTTATCTTAGCTGTGAAAGTCAAAGGTTCAATTCCTACCAGATTCAAGTTCAAAAGCCCAACATGACAGCATTCAGCATTACTCGCCGGAGTGGTATAATGAACATGATGTCATGTTAACTAGACATAGGATCAACTTATGACATTTCCTTCGGAACATTTCAAAAATTGTTGTAAAGGTTGACTTCAAGTAATTTTTTAAGTCTAGGGATCATGTCTTGTGTTTTATTCGACTAGCCCAGTGATATCTAGCATTCTAAACTGCGTCCTATGCAGAACCTCAATTAAAACTTCTATACCTGAACCATCATTGCATTGGCGTGCTTCAAAATCATTTAAAAAAATCCATTAATTTTAAACGCGACAAAAAATCGTGAAATAAAAATTCCAAAAGGAAAGATTTACTTCCAAAATTTTCTATTCGGTCATGTTTACATAATTTTTATTTGTGGTATGTTTTGTTATTTCAGAATGATTTTATTAGATCTCTTATTTAAGGCGTTATTGTTCGTAAAATAACAATTTATATATTTTTATAGTAAAACATTTAAAAGTCATGTAAAGAAAATCAGATGACTTAAAGATATATTGGAAGAGATGAAAAATTGAAATTTGATCGCAAGCAAAGGTTTAATAAGAAAAAATACTTTATAAAAAAAACTTTTTAAAAAAACTACGTTTTTCGCGTAGACTAAAAAGGAGAAAATAACTTTTATTCTTGGTTGTAAAGAATTTGGTTTTAAATTTTCAGATTATTATAAATATAAAAACCTTCATTTTTCTTTCTTTCTTTCTTTCTTTCTGTCATTCCGCTCTAAGCCACGCCCACTTTTTTAATCGTTTGCTCTCAGCCACCCATTTTTTCCAAAATTTTTTGTTATTGAGAATTTCAAAACAGTTTATGTTCTTTTTCCTACCTGAGATTTTTTTTCTTCATTAACTGAGATTCTTATTTACTGTTTTGAGTTTGACTGTATTTTGGTACTGGATGCTCATTTTTCTACTGGATGTTACTGTATCTTAATATTTTGGAAAATCCATGAAAAAAATACTTAACATAATTGAATTTTGTCGCCATTTTGGAAAATCCATGAAAAAAATACTTAACATAATTGAATTTGGAAGTTTGGACTTTTTACGAAACTATTCACAAGAAATGAGCTACAATTTGGCATTAGCTGATATTAATAATATGCTAATAGACCATGGAAAACTCTGCTCAGATTTTGATTTGCCACAACCAACTACTATTCTGCAAATGAATGATAATGCAGTTTTTGATCAAGAATATGAAAAAATTGAAGCACAACGCCTAATAGAAATGCTCAATGCCGACCAAAAAAGAGCATTTAATTCAATTAAAACTGTAATTGATTGTAGAGATCAAGGCAACAGCAGCAACAATTGTTTTTTCCTTGATGGACCAGGTGGCTCAGGAAAAACTCACGTATATCGTACACTAATGTCTTATTATCGAGGCAAAGGAGAAATAGTCCTACCTTTTGCTACAACAGGCATCGCGGCAACTTTACTTAAAGGAGGACGCACAGTACATAGTGGATTTAAATTGCCTGTTCCTATAAACGAAACATCGGTTTCTTTTATAAGGCACAACTCCAAAGAAGCAGATTCTTTTAGAAATGCAGTCTTAATCATAATTGATGAAATAACGATGTTGCCAAAAGAAGGACTTAGATGTATCGACGCTATTTTAAGGGAGCTCATGAAGTCAGAAATACCATTTGGTGGCAAAATTATCGTTGTTGGTGGAGATTTTCGACAGACATTGCCTGTTGTTCCACACGGTAGCCGAACAGATATCATAGAAACGTGCGTAAAATCATCGTCTCTTTGGAAATTATTCAAAATATTATCCTTGACGATAAATATGAGAAGTGAAGGACAAGGAGAGTTCAATGATTGGTTGTTAAGTATTGGATGTGGAACAACTCCTTCTATAAATGGATTACCAGAAGGCACAGTGGAATTGCCTCAAGATCTTTTAACAGTTAAGCCAATTGTGGAATCAGTATTTGGTAAGAACATTGGAAACATGTCCTCCGACGAATTGACAAAACGAGTCATCCTGGCATCTACAAATGAAGTTTGCTTAAACATTAACAAAGAAGTTATACGCCAACTACCAGGACAAGAGTATGTTTATAACAGTGCGGATTCCATTGTATCTGATGATCCCAGTGATGCTTTGAATTATCCAACAGAATTTTTAAATTCTATTACATTGTCAGGCATGCCACCGCACAGTTTGGTTCTTAAAGTAGGGACTGTCGTTATGTTAATTCGGAATCTATGTCCCGCGAAAGGTCTATGTAATGGCACTCGATTAATCATCAAAAGTCTTCAACGCTATTCTATAACTGCTGAAATTTTGTCAGAATGTAATCGTGGTGATTTAGTAAATATTCCGAGGATAGATTTGGCACCAAGTGATGTGAACTTACCATTTGTATTAAAACGCAGACAATTCCCGGTGATACCAGCTTTTGCCGTTACCATTAATAAATCTCAAGGACAAACTTACGATAATGTGGGAATCTATCTGAATGAGCCAGTTTTTTCGCATGGACAGCTTTATGTTGCTATATCAAGATCGAGAAATCGCAATAACATTAAAATATTCATTGCTCAAGGTGTATATCAAGGAAAGCTTCTTAAAAATGATAAAATTTTCACTCAAAATGTTGTTTATAAAGAAATTTTTAACATCTAAACTGTTTAAA